AAGTGTTCTTGCGATGAGGGAGTATTTGAGTAGGCCCAATGTCCATCTGCTACCTTGATACTTAATATATAAATATATGTACATAGATCTATTTCCCTATTGTTATATATAAATATATTTACATATGTACATGCCTATTCAGACTTCTAAATGCCCTTTGCCTCCTAGTTCTTTCCTCTATTTCCTTTCCTCTTATCCCACTATCATGTTTGGCCTTCATTCGGGTTTCAGTGAAAAAGACAAGATGGATCAACACAATGGCTACAACAATGGGCTCAAACACAAGAACCAGTGTCAGGATGCTGCAGGACAGGGCAGTGTTTCCTTCTGTTGAACTCAGGGTCCCGATGAGTCAGAATGGACTCAGTGGCACCTAACAGCAACAACAACACCCAGTCTTGATAAAAACACTCAATAAAATGGGAACAGATGGAAAATCTCTCAACCCAATAAAGGGCATTTACAAAAAAAACCAACATCTTGCTTAACAGAGAGAAACAGAAAGCATTTATTTTGCAAACAGGAACCAGGCAAGGTTGCACCTTATTCAATATTGCCCCAGAAGTCCTAACCAGAGATATTAGACAACAAAAAGAAATCAAAAGCATCCAAATAGGCAACGAAGTGAAACTCTCAAAACTCAAGGAAAAAAATGTTGGAAACAAGATTCAGCAGCATGGCACGATAAAAGACTGGCAGACGAAAAATCAAATGGAGGAAGCACCACCAGAATGCCCCTTAGAGGCAAAGGTGACAAGACTTCTTCTCACTAGTGAAGAGAATGCTGAAAAAGAAATCAAGGAAACAATAGCATTTAAAACAACCACACACAAAATGTAATACTTAGGAACAAATCTAACCAGAGAAACAAAACACATTACAAAGAAAACTACAAAACACTACTACAAGAAATCAAAGACACCTATATACATGGAAGAATGTTCCATGTTCATGGATACTTAATATTGTGAAATTGATGGTACTACTTAAATCAATCTATGAATACAACACAATCTCCCCCCCTCACTCCCCACCACCACGCAATTCTGATCCAGATGCCAAGAGCATTCTTTAAAGAAAGGGAAAGACTAATTACTAACTTTATATGGAGAGGAAAGAGACTCAGGAGAAGGATAACATTACTGAGGGAGAAGAACAAAGTCAGAAGGTTCTCACTTCCTGCTGACCTTAATATCTATTACACAGGCAAAGCAGTTAGGCTGTTTTCAAACAACCGGACGCTGGTACAATTACACAGGTACATAGAACAGTGGAACCACAGAGAAAAGCCAGAAATAAACTCATCCGCATACAAACAACTGGTGCTCGACACAGGGCCACAAAAGCATTACATGGGGGAAGAGATAGCCTCTTTAACAAATGTGTCTGGCAAAATCGGATCTCCATCTGCGGCAGAGTGAAACAGGACCCACAGTCACCCCACATACAAAAGTCAACTCCAGATGGATCAAAGACCTAAATGTTAATTCCAAAGCTATAAAAACCATCA